ATCACAAGGAAACTGTTGCAAAAGTTAATTTCTTGTTTTGACAGTGCGTGTGATACATAAAACATGCAGCTTCACATATGACACTGCTGCACATGAAATCTGCTCCCAAGTGTGATCATGCTGAAGGATTTAGGAATAGATAGTTATGCCATCTCTCACAGTTGAAAGTTATTCTTTAATATTAACCATATAGATTAAAAACACATTTAAATGTACAGGCATTTAAATTACCAGATCCATCTAAAAACTTTTGTAACTTGGTTCAGACCAGTAGCCTTAGTCTTCAGTGATAACCATTATATTGATATTTACCAGAAGAACTCCAATAAAGCAAAGGGGATATAATTCTGTCACTGGTAATAGGTATGCAAGTGACTGCTACCCTGGGTGGCTGGATTGTTTAATTCCCACTGATGGCAATTATGAAGCTTAAGCATAGGTAGAAAATGCAGTCAATAGACTGAAGACCTGATAAAATTCATTCTAGAAAGATTTTTAATGCTCTGTTGTGTCATTTATTCTGGAGTTGTGATCTATTTGTCTCTACTGTTTTATAAATGTGTATGTCAGGAAGGTGAGGTGGATCAGTCCTTCATAAAACAAATGCAAGAGCCAACTACAAGATGTCACATCAAACATGTGTTATTATTATTAATAACGGCTTTTCTACAAGTGACAAGAAGAACATTTTTAGTCTGTAATGCATCACTTGTGAATGTTGTTAATGTGGGAGAGACAGCGGAAAGGGACCTTTCATAATTGTGAGGACCTTCTAAGCAATGTAGGTTATGTATTCAAATTTCAGATGGGGGTGAAACCTGAAAAATAGTTTTAGAGCGACTACTTATTCAAAGACAGATAGGTTAGTGTTCATGGTTTCATGCAAACTGCATGAATTATGCCAACAAAATAAATTTTCGTCCCAACATGATGTTATTATCAAATTGATTAATGGGGAATATTTATTCCATTTAAAGATGATGGATAGGGGTTTTGGCACTTTCTGATAAAAAGCTTCCCATAATAATGTTAAAGATCTCATTGGGACAAAAGGTACTCTGACAAATACACCCTTCCATTAATCTACTGGTTCCTTGCCTAAGGCTCATCTCACTTTCTAAATGAAAATTATCAAAATAAATTGGCAAATATTTTCAGAAATATGATCACAGAATCCCAGATTTGTTTAGGATCAAAAATAAAACGAATGCAGATGAAAGGCATATGCTTCTTAGATTCTGAAACATATGGACTACAGTATCATACACATTCACTTCAAAGCAAGATCTGGGTTAAGTGGAACTTACACTCATGCAAATGTATATAGCGTTACAACCTTAAAACTACAAAGCAATGCAGGGTGGAAGTCAGCCCTACTGGACTCAGTGATATTGACTTCTGAATCAGTATGTATAGGGCTGTGCTCTAAATCAATGGTTCTCAATCTTGGGTCCCTAGATGTCCTGGGACTGAAATTCCCAGAAGTCTTCATCATTAGCTGTAATGGCCAGGAGTTCTGGGAGTTGTTGTCTAAGAACATCTGAGAACTCCAGGTTGGGAACCAATGTTCTAAGTCAATAATTATTAATGTTCTAGATCTGCTGCAGTGCTAACTTTCTCAAATTACCGTATTTTTCGCTCCATAAGACGCACAGACTTTCCACACCCCTGTTTTGTGGGAAAAAAGTGAGTCTTATGGTGCAAAAAATACAGTATCTTTAAAAAACAAACAGATGAAACAGCTTGTTCAGGGGGGTGGGGATGGGTAAGAAAATAGAATAGTGTGGTTTTTTCCCTTAAAAAACAAATATTTTTTCTATGTGTAATGACTCAGGATGCTGTACAACCTAATTTATGCTTCATAAAATTTCAGCACCCATTGTTCTGACAAGATGACAAGACCTGTAGGCAGACCATTGGGTTTGGGAGAAAAGAAGTGAAAGAAAAAGATGGGAGGAGGGAACAGCACACATGTTGTGAAGAGTTTTTTTAAAAAAATCTTTATTATTTTGCTATTTGGGAAAAAATAAGGATGCTGAAGTGCAAACACAGGGGCATTTTGAATGGGCTTAAGAAGCTCCATCAGTCAGAATAGCCGCAAACACAGCTTCTAGGTAAATCTTATTTAACGTTTCCCTAATTAGAATCAATAAAACCCAATCTTCATTCCACTGCTTTTATTGTGCGTGAACTATCTGTCAGAACCAAGAAAGTCTCACAGGCTACTTTTTCAGCTGAAGTGACTTCATTATTTCCTCTTGGGGTTTGCTAACATCAATGCAAGGAGGGAAAAAAGTTAACTAACATATTTGCTTCTTAGATGATTTAAGAAAAAAATCCTAATAATAAATATGAGTCATCCAGTTGTTTCCAACTTATGGAGATCCTCCCAGAGATTCCAAACATAAAGCACTTAGATATATTTAATATATCCCTCCTTCTGATAGTACTTTGGGACTGTGCAGCTTGCACAAGGCCATGCAGTGCATATAATTCCATCAATGGGGGGGGGGGAATCTCAGCTGGTCCTTTTTCTGGGAGACACTGTGCAAATTTGAACTGATAGCTCCTGGCTCTATAAACAGTTGGTTCAACCTACTAAGCTACACATGAGCTAGAATTTTTATAGAGGTGAGAGCTGTTTTAGTCATTGTTGCAGAGAAAACAATGATTCTCGTAGCATCTGCAAGAGTAACAGGTTTTATCTGCCATAGGCTTTTGTGGGGTGGGTTTGAAGTTTATGAAGTTCATGTCAAATAAAACTCATTATTCTTCAATATGCTACAAGACTCTTTGCTGCTAGTATGATTTATTAAATATACAAAACAAAAATTAATTTTGTTATCTTTGTATGTATTGGACAATATTCTGCTTCTCAATTATTTTTACTAGACACATAAGAAAAGCCAATCCACTTAGAATTTAACCCATAAATCCATTTGAACTGAACAGGAACTACAAACCAGGATGGTATAATTGCCATTCAACCCATTCATGTCAATGGGGCTTTCTCATGACATCTTCCTGGTGGACTGTGCCTTTTTTTAATTCCTTGCATTTTCAGCCCGGCAGCATTAACCTGTGTCTGTGATTAAAAAGGCTTAATTGTGTGTGCATGTGCTGAGCTGTCAGCAATTCCACTCAATGGCACAATATAAAATAAATGAAAAGCTGGCAATCTGTGCATCCAGAAAATCTAGCCCTCTAATGAAATTAAGCATTAGAGTTTATTGAATTTTATTGTATTATCAGAAAGTTTTTATTATAATGCGCAAAATCTGCTTAATGCAACCCTAGATTGTATTTACAGAGTGGCGGAACAGCTTATGCAGACTGTGTGGAAGATGCCAGATTGGACAATTGAAGGTATAATCAGCATAATGTTTTTTGGAAAGGCAAAAGGAAACGATGCCATATGTTCACTTAAGCCTTAGTTTTATGTAAAACTGGTTTCTTTTCCCTCTGACATAGCTAAAGTGCCCTTTCGCTCACAGTTCAAATTCTTATTTATTTGCCTTCCAGATTTCCATATGCTTATATGCATTGTACTGAACAATGTCCCCTTTTGGTGAATGGGAGTGAAAGACAACATAGTGGTTTTTTAAACAACCAGGTAAGTGATGTAAGTTTAATCATCAAAGGCTTTTGCTACTGATCTCCAAAGTGGAGACTTCTGCACTCTAAACACCCATGCCTTTGTACAGGCACCAGAGAAACAACTCTGAAAGTGAAAGACAGAAGGATTCACCAAAGCTCACAATTGCCAATTTACATTTTGTAGGCTAACTAACCTGTTTCTTCTGTTGTGTTTATAGAAAAGAAACAGCATTGCTTCAGCATTAATGCATACAGCCTGCAAAACCTTTAACTTATTGCTCTGCTTCTTGCCCTTCCGTTTCATATTAAGTGGATAGGAGAACATTAAACCTCTGAAAAAACGATCAAGGAACATCAGCAAAATAACCTATGCATGTTATATGTTTAGCACATTTCTTTTTAATCTAATACAAGCTAGTGTGTCAACCTTCTATTGCTATAAATTAATGAGGCTACTAATGTATTTTCATTGGGAGGTTGAGCAGTCAAACTCATTTAGTTAGTGAAAACTACAAAAATCACTTTATTGTGAAATCTGAGAGTAGAAGCTTCAATGAACTAATGATCACAGCATGAGCTCTTTTATGTACCACTGAAAATAAAGATCACCTGTAAATGTAAAATTTGTACTGCATAAATTGTGTATTAGCAAGCTCTCACCCTTAAAAGCATTTTCCTTCTGACTCTACTAAGAAAAGACAAGCATGATTTGAATACTTTGCAGAATCAGCAGTTGATAAGGAACATACTAGCTGAAATTCAGTACAGTGGTGCCCCGCTTGACAACGATAATGTGTTCCAGCAAAATCGCTGTTAAGCGAAACCATCATCAAGCGAAAAAGATCCCCATTGGAATGCACTGAAAACCGGTCAATGCGTTCCAATGGGGGCAATACCTCATCGTCCAGCGAAGATTGCTCATAGAGAACCGCCGATCAGCTGTTAAAAATCGCTGTAATGCAAAGCCTCCGTCCGGAAAGCAGCCATTTTGAGAAGGGAGGGAAGCCATTTTGCAGAGGGAAGCCATTTTGCAGGGCCGGAAAAAACATCGTTTTGCGAAAAAACGGTTCCCGAAGCAAGCTCCTAATCAACGTAAAGCGAAAAAACCCCATTGGAACCATCGTTCATCGTCAAGCGATTTCAACATCATGGGGGTAAGCATCTAGCAGGGCACCACTGTAGTCAGCTTCAGCTAGAGTAGGCCCTCTGAATCAATGAGGGTTTGGTGAGCCAACACCTATCCATTTTTCATTGATTCAATGGACTTGCTCAAATTGTGACGCGTTGCTGGATTTCAGGCTATAAAAACAATGCATTTCTGGTTTCTGTTTTACTCATATTTTGATAGCATCTGAAGACATGTCCCATGTAAGCTATTAAACACCATCAACAGATATACTTACATGGCTTTTTGGCTGGCTGAACTAGTTGAGGATTCAGATATGGACTATTCTCTGCATCTATTCTGCGCTTGTACTTCTGGCGACCTCCACGTACTCTGTCTAGGCGGACTCCTAAAAAATATATAAACGGAGGCACATTTAATACACTCACTTAGAGAAAAATACAATGAAATATATTCACATACAAGAAAGGGTCTTATGTAATGTCCTTGAACTTTCCATTAAATAATAGTCAAAGGTCTTGGTTTTTGTCTGAAAACTGCAGGAACTGAAAATAACTTAAACAACAAGATTCGAGAACAATTTTGGCTTTAAAAAAGTACAAAAATATTAAGAAACATTTCATTTCATCCATATGTTTTTTTAAAAAGTGAGGATCTAGCTAACAATTTGCTGACAATGTCTAAGGTCATGTGGATCTTAGATAACTTTAACACAGGAAACAGGATACAACCCAAGAGGCACTATCAGTTCCCTAGTCCCCATTACATTCAGTAGTTGTGAGCAAAACAGGAATGGGATACACAAGATGATTTAATCTTACTATTTAAATTATTTACCATCATCATTAGAATTCACCATGTATTACTTTACATTATCATTAACTTTATTTTTCATATTCAAGAGTAGTGGTCCTTACGATTATATAGCAAAAATGATACCATGGTATAAGAAGCTATGAATGGATTTAGCAATAGTGTACTCTGAGGTTTGTAGAGGCAAAAAAAAATATCTAACAAAGGTGAATCAGAAGCAGCCTAAGGAAAAAAAAGAAGAATGCTAAATTGCGCTGATTGAAAAGTTATAGAAAATTGGGTGGGAAAGAGAATGAATGTATCCTAAAGGATGGTATGGTTGACTGATTAGATACTGAACAGGAATACTCCACACTGCAGTTTTAATGCATATCCCATATCTATTAGCACACTGCTCTTCTGCAGTGGATTTGAGTGCAGTTCACAGTAAAATACAAATACCTTATTTTTCCGTGTAGACGCCCCTATGTATAAGACACCCCCCCACTTTTCCAACCAAAAATCTATTCCTTTGCAAGAAACTGGAGGTGTAAGGCAGGATCAAAGTGCTTTGATTCCTGCTTTCCCCCTCCACTTTCTTGGGAAGAAAGCGCATTCCCCCTCCACTTTCTTTGCAAAAAGCTGCTTTCCCCTTCCACTGCTTGCAAAGAAAGTGGAGGGGCTACTTTCCCCCTTCACTTTCTTTGCAAAAAGTAGAGGGGGAAAGCAGGGATCAAAGTGCTTTGACCCTCTTACTATTGACCCTAATTTTTTCCTTTTTAAGGGAAAACTGTCATTTTATACACAGAAAATTACAGTAATAATGAAAGAAAAAGAATCAAGCAATACAATATTTAAAAAAAACACATCTCAGCACCTTTGAACATCTGGCTGCAAAGCCAAGTGCCAGGAGTTCAATTCCCCACTTTGTCTTGCAAGAGAAAAGCCAACCTGTATGGCCTTGGGGAATTTACATGGCCCAAGAGTATCCCCAGAAGAAGGGGCTTTTAAATCACTTCCAACTAGAAAAACCAGAGAAGGATCATCATAGGTCAGAATAGACCTATGCAATTATTATTAATAACCTGAAAAGCCATATATCAATTATAATAAAACTATTAATCAGGAATAGGGAGATGAAAAATCTAGGAGAGTTTCTTTCTTAACTATTTGTCTGGCTCTGAAAAGATAAGGCTGACAATCCTCCATAAGGAGAGAGTACATAAATGGGATGCGTGGTCATTCTATTTTATAGGCACCATCTATAGGTACATCTTGTAAGTCACAATTATTCTGCCGTACTTTTCAGTTACAATACAGGTACAAGTAAAAAGAAATCTAGAGATAGAAAATGTATGTCCATTAGCAAGACAATCTTTTTGAAACCAGAATCCTAAGTCATCAAAAAGATAAAAGCTATGGATCACATTAAAGCTTTCCTGCTCTACTGCTGAATTAACAATTAGCAAGGGGAAGTCAGTTTTTGTCTCCTAATAGCTATCTGTACTCTGAAGCATATAACCAACTATAATATAAGCTCTCTATCTTCAGCCTGTGCGCACATATATACAAAAAAATGAATGTGCCAAAGGGAGAGAATATGGCTAGCATATTCAAAGCAAAAACATAATAATCATCACTATTATTACTATTGCCAGGATCCAAAAGCAGTGAAACCAGAATCATGTCCCATCCATGACGTTTATACAATACTGGGACATTGCTTCTGGAAGCACTAGAAATTTAGAAGTAGTTTGTGAGATTCGACTCAAATCAGCTGTTCAAAGAAAAATCAGACAAAATTCTGAAGTCTTATGATCCTGGTCAATGTATTTGAAACAGTCATGTTGCATTAAAATAAACTTGCTGAGGATGGCTGGATGGAGTTTATTTGACGAGACCGTGTACCGTTTTTCTTCAGAGTCTGCACTATTAGGCCTACACAGTGGTGCCTCTCTTAACAAGCGCACCGTATAACGACGAATCCGCATAGCGATCCTGTTTTCGGGATCGCTAATGCGGAGGCATAGCGTTGGCCCCAATGGGCAAAAGTCGCATAGCGAAGATAGGTAAGCGTTTCGCTTACCAATCTTCGCTTCGCGACACCCGCAGATCAGCTGTTTGGCAGTTTCAAAATGGCCGCCGGACGCCCAAAATGGCCACGCACAGCGTTTTCGCGCCCTCCCCTTGCTTACCGAGGGCGCGAAAATGGCTGCCGGACCCTGGAAACTTCGCTAAATGGTGAGTTTTGTGCCCATTTGGAAGCCAATGGCCTTCCCCGTTCTGTTTAGCGAAGTTTTCACATAGCGAAGGTTAATTCGGAACGGATTAACTCACTATGCGGGGCACCACTGTACTTCCAGGTAAGATTCAAATAAAGGTATGATCTAATAAGCCCTAACAGGTACTCCAGAACTAGTATGGCACAGATAATATATTTTCCTATATATAAAAATCTGACCAACATTTTCGAAACGGATCATTGTTCTGCATGTGATTCAAAAAGTTTGGACTATATGAGGCTTGCTGGCCTAATACACCATTTACAAATACAAATTTGATAACAAGTAACAGGTGACACGTTTTAATTGAATGTCTTCTGTCTGCAATTCTGACAAAAGGTGAATGGAAATAAATGAGCTTGGCAAGACAGCCCTTGAGCCTTACAATACCCAATATCTCATTATTATTTTTTTCAACAGTTATCTATAAAACGGACGCTGACAAGCTTTGAACCTTTTATTCCTCTTCAAGACTAGATGAATGTTTTAATATGAGAAAGAAAAAGACAGCTAACAATGTTGTGTTAAGTACAGAACACTGCTGTTATCGCCTCTTCAGTGTAATCAAAGTAAAGGCTGTCTTTTTTTTTTTTAACGAAGTTGCTTTTATTATCTGGGTGATTCAGAACACATTCAACAATACTGAGGATCAAAATTTACATTACTAGGAATCATTAAATTACACCCAATTCAGTGTGAAAGATGACTTCTGCTTTAGAGCCCAGCCCATTAATTGTAACAGGACCTCCTGGTTAAGTATGCTTAGCATTGCTTCCGTAGTCTCACATACACTTTAGACGGAGTTGTTTAATGACTCTTGACTCCAGAAAAATTATAGCACATTTTTGTCAACCGTAGAAGCAAGCTTAGTTGATCCCATGTAAACAGCTGTAAGATTTAGCATTCAGGGTTGTTTCCCTCTTCTGACAGTAACATTTCAGAGAAAAGCAAACATGGGCAAGCTGACTACTGGTTCCTGACCTGAGGGTGTGAAGTGTGCCCCAGCTGAAGGTAAGCATCTACACATTCCATTATTTGTTTGTTTATCCTGAGGGATTTCTGAAATTGTAATAGGTAGAAATTTATGTTTGTAATAACTAGAATAGATAATAGCTACAAAGATATTTGCGTGGATATGACTGATTCCCCAGCTTACATACTGGATCGGTTATACATATCTCCACATTGGTTCCCCCAGAGCCCCAAGCAGGATCACTAATAATTAGCTTTTAGTAGTGTCTCATCATAGGTATTTTGTGGGCTGGGCTGGTAATCAGGTCATAAAAACTGCTGCCATTAAATCCTTTCCATCTGACTACAAACTAACTAGCTTATCTACTGTCCATTAGACTTCTGGTGACTCTTTCTCTTTTAACACACAACTATTAGTACCGTAACCTGTTTTTCCCAAAAGTTTGGCTTGGGCGATGACACACCTAGGATGCAAACAAATCTTAGAAGCAACTGAGGCTGAAAATACTGTTCTTTTGATAATAAAAATTGCAGGAATGCAACTGTGAAATCAATATCCACAAATGTATTCATATGTGATTTCATTTCAGCATGAATAGAAGTGAATACTGTAGTGGGGTGAATACTGGACTGAGTGAACACTTGGATAGAAAGAATAAAAAAGGGTCAGAGGAACAGGAAAGATTAAGCAGTGGGTTGTGGGTGTGAAATTAATGGACTTCTAACCTAGGTGAATTTGGATACTTTCATCACTTTATACTAAAAGAATTAAAGAAACGGACAGAGCTTTAAAATATCAGCAATGAAAAAAAAATCACAGAAACTGGATTTTTTGAGATGGTTTAGAACTGATGTACACAGTAATTAGAAAAATTCAGAAGTATATCTGCACATCCACCCTCTGGATTATTCAATTGCATTGTTTTCCAGGTTTATTTTTATATTTATAATCTACAGGAACATTTATTCAGCATTTTTCATATCATAAAGTAAAGCATAATTGTAAAGACATGACAAAGCAGCTACTTTCCCCACAGAACAACACTAGGACCTCATAGCATAGTCAGACAAAACCAATATAAAAAACAAGAATGCAGTAGCATCTTAAAGACTAATTCACAGTTCAACTTAAGCTTTTGTGGATTGATTCACTTTGTCAGACACATTACACTGTGTTTTTAAAATTATTTTGTTTGGTTTGGTTTGGCTATTCTTGGATTAACATGGTTAGTAATTTGAAAACAGCTCATTGTACGAGAGGGACGTAGATTTGGATTATTACTCGAAGGAATTGATCAACAATTTTATGACAAGTGCTAGAACATTAATAGCTAGGCTTTGG